CCTCAGCCTCAGTCTGCATTCAGCCTCGGCCTCAGCCTCAGCCTGCCTCAGCCTCAGCCTGCATCAGCCTCAGCCTCAGCCTCAGCCTGCCTCAGCATCAGCCTGCCTCAGCCTCAGCCTCAGCCTGCCTCAGCCTCAGCCTGCCTCAGCCTCAGCCTCAGCCTGCTTCAGCCTCAGCATCATTCTGCCTTCAGCCTCGGCCTCAGCCTCAGCCTGCCTCAGCCTCAGCCTGCATCAGCCTCAGCCTCAGCCTCAGCCTGCCTCAGCTCAGCCTCCTCAGCCTCAGCCTGCCTCAGCCTCAGCCTGCTTCAGCCTCAGCCTCAGTCTGCCTTCAGCCTCGGCCTCAGCCTCCGCCTGCCTCAGCCTCAGCCTGCATGGGCCGCAGCCTCAGCCTCAGCCTGCCTCAGCATCAGCCTGCCTCAGCCTCAGCCTCAGCCTGCCTCTGCCTCAGCCTCAGCCTGCTTCAGCCTCAGCCTCAGTCTGCCTTCAGCCTCGGCCTCAGCCTCAGCCTGCCTCAGCCTCAGCCTGCATCAGCCTCAGCCTCAGCCTCAGCCTGCCTCAGCCAGCCTCAGCCTCAGCCTCAGCCTCAGCCTCAGCCTCAGCCTGCTTCAGCCTCAGCCTCAGTCTGCCTTCAGCCTCGCCTCAGCCTCAGCTGCCTCAGCCTCAGCCTCAGCCTCAGCCTCAGCCTGCCTCAGCCTCAGCCTCAGCCTGCCTCAGCCTCAGCCTGCCTCAGCCTCAGCCTCAGCCTGCTTCAGCCTCAGCCTCAGTCTGCCTTCAGCCTCGGCCTCAGCCTCAGCCTGCCTCAGCCTCAGCCTGCATCAGCCTCAGCCTCAGCCTCAGCCTGCCTCAGCATCAGCCTGCCTCAGCCTCAGCCTCAGCCTGCCTCAGCCTCAGCCTCAGCCTGCTTCAGCCTCAGCCTCAGTCTGCCTTCAGCCTCGGCCTCAGCCTCAGCCTGCCTCAGCATCAGCCTCAGCCTCAGCCTCAGCCTGCCTCAGCATCAGCCTGCCTTCAGCCTCAGCCTCAGCCTGCCTCAGCCTCAGCCTCAGCTGCTTCAGCCTCAGCCTCAGTCTGCCTTCAGCCTCGGCCTCAGCCTCAGCCTGCCTCAGCCTCAGCCTGCCTCAGCCTCAGCATCAGCCTGCCTCAGCATTCAAAATGTGGCCTGGGAATCGAGTTCTGGGAACTCGAAGAACACGACGATGTGGCCTACAGTTGGCTCCGGGCATTCAAAATCATGCCCAGGACTGGAGTTCTGGGAACTCGAAGACCACGAAATGGCCTACAGTTGGCTCTGGGCATTCAAAATCATGCCCAGGACTGGAGTTCTGGGACCTCGAAGACCACGAAGTGGCCTACAGTTGGCTCAGGGCATTCAAAATCATGCCCAAGACTGGAGTTTTGGGAACTCGAAGACCACGAAATGGCCTACAGTTGGCTCCGGGCATTCAGAATGTGGCCCCGGAATGGAGTTCTGGGACCTCGAAGACCACGAAGAGTATAACTGTTTGCTTCAAGCGACTTCCGCGGATCCCTGTTCGGATGCCGCCAAGACCCCCCTGGGGAGTCAAGATGCTCTCTTTTGACCCTATTAGAAACCTATCAATCTTCGCTGTTAGGAACAAACATACTTCGATCGATCCGGCTCAAGTTCGTTGCCATTTGGCTACACAAGGCGCGCGCCACAGATAGACACTCCCAGTATCTATTTGCTGGGGCCCGGACCCCGCACCCCGGACCCCAGACCCTGGACCCCAGACTCCGGACCCTGGACCCCGGACTCCGCACCCCGCACCTCGGACCCCGGACCCCGGGCCCGGACCCCGGACCCCGGACCCCGGACCCCGGACCCCGGACCCCGGACCCCAGACCCCAGACCCGGACCCCGCACCCCGCACCCCGCACCCCCGACCCCGGAGCCTGGACCCGGACCCCGGACCCCGGACGCGGGCAGCCAGAGGTCCATAAGTCTGTTTGGGGGCGTCTAGGAGGGCCTCTTGAGGGCATCTTGGGGGCCTGATATGGGCCTCTTGGGGGCCCAGGGGCCTCTGTGGGCACCTCGGGGACCTTCGGGGGGATTTTGATGCCATCTGGGGGCGGAAGGCTCATAATGTCGATTCGTGCTCCCCCCTCTTTGGGGCTGCCTTGGGCCCCTCTTGGGGGCCTCTTGAGCCGTTTTTAGGCGATCCTGGGCGCCTCTTGGGCCTTCTGGGACGCTCTGAAGACCAAAAAGGTACTCGTGCTAAAACCATGGACCCAGCACAACGCTGTCTGGTTAGGTTTTGGCCCTTGTTTTGTTTCTCGTTGTGTTTCCGTTGTGTTGTTCGTTATTGTTTTAAACGCGTTCTTTGTTTTGGTCTTGAGTTTCTTTTTGTTGAGTGGTTTAGCCTAAAACAATTCCACAAAGAATGGGTTTTTACGATTTGGGTCTCTTGGGCCGCCCTCCGGGGCCTTCAGACCGCCCAGGAGGCGCCCGCGAGGGCTCCAGGTCCGTCGTCGGGCCATGCCCTCTCCTCCTCGTCCTCCTCCCCTTCCTCCTCGGACATGCATGTCCCGAACAACGCGCACTTGGCCTCTGGAGAGTCACGCGGGGAACCCCGGAGCGGCGCCCGAGAGCGCCCGGGAGCGCCCCGGAATTCCGGGCCGCGGGCCCCTGAAAGCAAGAATGCTTGCAGCCCTTAGTGCGGGGTATTCTCAGGGACTCGAGGACACTGCAAGTCTTGTCTCAGGGCACGGTGGCGGCTTTGCGCGTGTGCGTGCCTGCGAATTCCATGACATTTTGTCTGTGCACGTGCTCGAGCTCTCAGGATACCCCTGCCGTCAGCTCCCCTTCAGCTTCGCGGCTGCTTTGTGAGCGGGCCGGCCGGCCTGTGCCTGTTGTAGCTAATTCGCCTCGCTCGTGCCCCGGACTTAACTTCTTGCCGCCTGACCTTTGTCTCGCGGCCGCGACCAAAAAAGTATGCGTGCCTGCATGCATGCGGTGCGGTGGGTGCATTGCGGCGTAGAGCACTCAAGCATAGTTCGTGCAGGTGTCCAGTTGCGCTGTCGCGCGAAGAAGCCGCCGCGCTCGGGCGGGCGCCCCGGGGGAGGGGGGGAGGGCGCGGGGAGGACCAGAGGCTTGTGTAGGGGCGAGGTGCAGGTGCCCTGGAGGTTTCCACTTGGAGCTTTGTTTGGTCAGTTCTTGCGTGTGGGAGGCGGAAAGATAATTAACACAACGTCGTGAACGAATATTGGGATCGTTGTGTCACGGGGCCCAAACTGCTGCTTCGCAAGAAGCCAAGGTAACAGCAAAGATCACACACACACACACTTCCACACTCGCGCACGCAGTCTCTCACACTCACACGCACACACTTGCACATACACTTACACATGCACACACATGTGGACATATTCAGGTACACGTACACATACAAACTCGTACATACACACCAACCGTTGCAAGCGCGGTGCGAGATGTAGTGCTATGTCATGTGTTGCGGGTGCGCAGGTTTATGCACGCACGTGTGCGTATGAATAGATGTGCTGTCGAGAAGCATTCGTGTGAAATCACATCTGCACGCGCATGCGGGCAGGGTTCCGCGACCATGCATGCGCACGTGCACTAGCAGGTGCACGGGCAGAGCGCACGCGCTTCGAGTATGGTACTGACTTGCGCTGAGGCGTCTGCCCTCCGCGGGGGAAAGCAGGACTGCGAGAAAAAGGCGAGGAGTCCGACACGCGCGCACTTTTTAAGTCGGCGGTGCAGAGGATCCCCAGGCGGGAGCAGCAGATGGAAGTGCTACTTGCGATCGAACGCTGTCGAAAGCACAGTGTACAAAGCGTGCACACTGTCAACGCAGCGAAACCGACGCGCGCACACACACACACGCACATACACACACACACACGCACTTTGTCCCGCCGGCGACGCGGCACCGCAGAGTCGCGATGAGTCACCAAGACGGGCATCGCCGCGGTAGATTGCCTTGTTTGAACTCCAGGAACTGCTTTTTGAATTCAAAGAACGTTTCTTGAACTCAACAAACCAATTTGTGAAGTCAAAAGGGCCGACACACTCGACACACACATACACACACGCACACACACACACATTCTTAAGCCGGCGGCACAGAGGTTCCTGAAGCGCGGGCGGACGGCAGATGGAGGTGCCAATTGCGATCGGGCATTGTCGAAGGCACAGAGCACACAACCCGTGCACACTGTCAAATGCAGCGATGGGTGGTGTGAACAGACACAACACACACACACCTCCAACGGCTGCAGCGGGAAGGCATCCACGTGCAAACACTGTCATGGGCCACGCTCGCAGCGAATTGAGCCGACCACCCTGTGTGACAGCATGCTCCAGGACAGGCAGCGCACGCTCTTCTCCAGAGCAGGCCAACGTGCTGCCGGGCACCACTCCGACGCACAGGAAAAGGCAGAGCACAGCACTGCGGCGAACTGCAGTGACCACCCCCAGGCGTGAAGGCGGCGAGCAGGCCGCGGGCGGCTAACATGTGGCCCAGCGACAACCTTCGGGAGTGCTGGTGTCCACTTGGCATCGCTCGGACGTGTGCATTTTTCCTGCGGCGAGGACCATCGAGGAGCATCCTTGATGATTTGACGAAAAAACCACGCACGAAACCGAAAAAAACACAGGGAATGGACGTCTGAGCGATGCCCGGGTTCAGGTCGCCCGCAGCGGCGCCAATGTAATCGCGCTGCGCGCGTGGCGGTCTGGGCCAGAGGGCTGCCCCCCTTGCGGGAGAGTGCGCGAAGGTGGCCACGAGTCGCGCGCGGCGCGACGCGCGACGTCGGGTGACTCGGGCGTCGGCGTGGCACGCATGTGGATCATCACCGACACTTCTCCTGGGCTACATTCTGCGCGTGCTTGGCCGACCCACTGCGCTGGCACATTTTGCTTCACGTGTTGCACTGTGGAGCCCGTCCCATCAGCTCTCTAATCTTTCCTGCGCTGCGCTGACGTGCTTCTATGAGGTAAACGCTAGCTTTGTTGCCAGGTCGGTGTTGCGCTTCTCTTCGGGACGCTGAGCTTCGTGATACTCTTCTTCACCGTATTCATCCATGAGCTCGGCCGCGCACCTGCTGCTGCCTCTTCACAGTCCATCGCTTGCCTGGGAGCCTTCGCCAGCTGGCCCAAGTTCTTTTGGCCCCAGTTCAGGTTCCTCTGGTCTGTCTACGGTTGCGGGGTGTCAGGCCCTCGGAGAGACTTTGTTGCCAGGTAGAGGAAGAAGAGGACAACTGAAGAGCAGAGGGCGTCAGAGGGATCCAAGACGGCTCAAGAGGGCCCCACCGACAGCCGCCGAAACAGCTCAGGAGGGCCCCACGAGGCCCTCAAAGTAGACGAAACAGACGCCCAACGGTGTCGAAAGCAGTTGCTGAGGGCAAGGAGAAAAGGGGAAGCGGAGAGGAGCAAAGGACGGGCCCAACATAGTTTTGAGTATTCAGGCAGGGGTGTCCAAGACGGCTGCAGAGGGCGGCAAGTGGGCGCCTGAATTGCGCAAGAAGCCCTTAGGGCGGCCCAGGATGCCTCCATTAGACTCCCGATATGTCCTAACAAGCCAAGCCTGACGGGGTCCTCGGGTCTCTCCGTGACTATATGAAGTCGTCTTGAGACAGTCATGGCGACGTTTGGAGGCATGTTGTGTGCTATTTGATTGTACCACCTTGGAGTTGTAAGCCATCTTGGGCTGTATAGGGCCATCTTGGATTTATCCCGGGCCATACTTGACGCTCTCAACGCGCTGAGAGGCACGAGGACGGGAATTCGGGAATCCCGAACCGCGCCATGCTGGCACGATTCGGGATGGTCAAGACGCAACAGTCAAGCTGATGCGTGGCGCTGAAGCTGCGACGACGGTATCTTGTCACGCTTTAAGATCTTCCAAACGCTTGTCGTCCAACGGGGCATTTCCTTGAGCGGAAATTAAGCCGAGTAGGGGCCTGTGAAGAAGGAGCTTGGAGGGATGGTTTATTCCAACATCGTTGGTGAGTCTTGGGTTTACACTGGTTCTCCTCCGTCTCCTCCCTCTTCTCCTTCTCCTCCTCCCTTCTTACTCCTCCTCCAACATCTCTCATGTGGGAGCAGGGTTTCTTGCCATGGTCTGATTAGCACCCTTACCTAGACTTCAAGCGGATTGCGTAGTGTGTTTTGCAATCCTGGCATTGTTCCTCAATGTGTGTGCCTCTTGGGGCCGCATCTCAGAAAAAACAGTCCCGTGGAATGCAGGGTACATTGGATTTCAATGTTACTGAATCTGGCAGTAGTCAGTGGGAGAATGGTGAAAACAATGTGTTTCTTTCAGGGTCAATGTTTTGTTTTGAGGGTCAGAATGCATCCCGGGCCATTTTTAAGTCTCATTTTTCCAGGAGCCCGCCGTGTGGGACACCCTCAAACATCTCATTGAAGGATTGGTTGGTTGGGGGGTTGGCTGGCTGATTGGCTCGCAGATTCACGGGACAAAAATTTGTATCCGGGAGGTTGGTTTGCTGGTTGGCGGGTGGGTGGGTTGGTTGGTTGGTTTGTTGGTTGGTTGGTTAGCTGATCATCTGGTTGGCTGCATGGCCGGGTTTCCGTTTGCCCGGCAATGGTTGGTCGATTGGTCGGTTGGTTGGTTCGCTAGATGCCAGGTCATGCTTCTTGTGCCTGGAACGTTTGGTTCAAAGCTCGGTTGGTTGGCTGGTTGGTTGGTGGAGTGGTTAGTTGGTTAGTTGGTTGGTTGGTTGGTTGGTTGGTTGGTTGGGGGGCTGGGTGGCTGGTTGCCCGCTTGCCTGGGTGGTTGGCCGGTTCTCCCCTCCATTCCCCCTCCCCTCCTCCCCCCTCCTCCCTCATTCCTCCTCGTCCCCCCCTCTTCGCTGTACCTTCCCCCCTTTTGCTCCGTCCCCGTCCTCCTCCTTGCTCCCGCCCGCAATGTGCTGCAATGCAATGTATTGCAACTGCAATGCACTGCAACTCAACAGGATGCAATGCAATGCAATTCAACGCAATGCAATGCAATGCAAATGCAACACAGTGCACTGTACTGCAATGCCATACATTGCAATGAAATGCATTGTACTGTAACGCAACGCAATGCAATGCAACATAACGCAACGCAACGCAACACAACGCAATGCAATGCAATACAAGGCAATGCAAATGCAACGCCATGCAATGCAATCGACGCAATGCAATGCACTGCAATGCAATACGTTAGCTGAATGTGTGTCTCGTCACGTGGCAGTGTCACGGGGCCGAAAATAGCTTCCACTCCACTGGCCACTTGGCGTCGCCCCACTCTACTTGTATCTACTTGTCACGTGGGAGCGCCGCGGGGCTGAGAAAAATACAATTCCAGTCTATTCTCTATTCGCCACATGGCACCGCCTGGCGGGGTCGAACAACACATACTATTCCCTTCTATTCCTCACGTGGCAACGCCGCTGGGAGCCGACAAAAAATACACACCCACTCCACTTGCCACGTGGCAGCGCCTGGAGGCGCAAAGAAAAGGTATTCCATCCACTCTACTTGTCACGTGGCAGTGCCGCTTGAGCCGACAAAAACAACTGCTCCACTATATTCGTCACGTGGCAACCCCGCTGGGGGCCGAGAGGAATATATGTGCCACTCCACTCTCCACGCGGCAACGCCTGCATGCGCGAAGAAAGTGTATTCCATTCCAGTCGTCTCGTGGCAGCGCTGCGGGGCCCGAAACAGTCATTATGCCACGAGAACGACGACGAGGACGGCGACGACGAGGATGACGACGACGATGACGACGACGACGCTGATGACGAGGGCCACGGAGGCGCACAAACATTCCATCCTCTCCTCCCCGTCCTTCTCCCTCCCCCTTTCCTTCTCCATCCTCCCTCCTCCCTCCTCCTTCCTTCCCCGCCCTCCTCTCCTCCCCCTCCCCTGTTCCCCCGCTCCTCCTCGCGCCTCCTTCCTCCCCTCCTCTCTGCCTTCCTCCCTTCTCCTCCCTCCTGTCCTCCCCTTCGGCCGCAATTTACTGCAAAACAATGTGCTGCAAATTGCATGCAAATGCAACGCAGTGCAATGCAATGCACCGCGACAGGATTGTTGGTTGGCAGGTTGGTTGGCCGGTGGCTTGCCTGTCGGTAGGTTGGCTGATCAGTTGGTTGGGTGGCCGCCACGTGGCCATGCTTGGGCGGGCGACGGAAAACTATTCCACTCCACTCGTCACGTGGCAGCGCCGCGGGGGCCAGGAAACATACTGTTCCATTATGTTCGCCACATGGCAACGCTTGGCGGGGACCGAGCACCTACTTTTCGACCACTCGTCCCGTGGCACCGTCACGGGGGCACGTGGCACCGCCTGCTGGGGACCGAGCAGCCACCATTCCACGACCTGTCGCGTGGCAACGCCGAGCAGATACGAAGCCACTTCACGAGCAGCACGGCAGCGCCCGGGGGCGCGAAGGAGCAGCACTCCGTCCGCTCTGCTTGTCGCGCGGCAGCGCCGCGGGAGCCCGGAAGAACATGTTCACTCGATCCGCCATGCGGCAACGTTGCGGGGGCCGGCAACAGAACACTGTGCCGCTCCACTCTCCACGGAGCAACGCTTCGAGGCGCAAGGGACAAGCATGCTTTTCTGGTCGTCACGTGGCAGCGCCGCGGGGGCCTAAAAGCTCAGTGTGCCACGACGACGGCGAGGACGACGACGAGAACGACGACGACGATGGCGAGGGCCAGGGAGGGAAAACACTAACTCTATCATATCCTCCTCGTCCTTCTTTCCCCCCTGCCTTCTCTATCCTCCATCCTCCCTCCTCCCTCCTTCCTTCCTCCTCTTTCCTCCCTCATTCCCCTCCCCTCATCCCTCCACCTCCCTCACTCCTCCTCCTGGCCTTTTCACTACCTTCCTCTCTTCTCCTCGCTCCTGTCGTCCCCCTCCCCTCGCCCGCAATTTCCTGCCATGCATTGCACTGCAAATGCAACGCAGTGCAATGCAACGCAGTGCAACGCAACAGGATGCAGTGCACCACAGTACAATGCAACGCAGAACAATGCAATGCAATGCAACGCGTCACGTGGCAGTGCCGTGGGGACCGAACCAAAGCATTATGCCACGACGGCGAAGACGAGGGCCACTGAGGCGAACAAAAATACTATCCTAACTATCCTCCTCCTCGTCCTTCTCCCTCCTTCCTCCTCCCTCCTCCCTCCCCATTCCTCCCTCCTCCCCCTCCCTTCCTCCCCACTCTTCCCTCCTCACTGCCATGCAATGGACTCCTCCCTCCCACATCCCCTCCACCCCCTCCTCCCTCCTCCCCCCTCTTCCTTCCCTCCTCCACCTCGCCCGCAATGTACTGCAATGCAAGGTACTGCAATGCGAATGCATCACAGTGCACTGCGATGCAATGCAATACAATGCAATGCAATCTAATGCAATGCAATGCAACACAACGCAACACAACGCAACGCAACACAACGCAATACAGCGCAACGCCATGCAATGCAATGCAATGCAATGCAATGCAATGCAATGCAATGCAATGCAATGCAATGCAATGCAATGCAATGCAAATTCAACGCAGTGCAACGCAATGCAATGCAGCACAGTGCGCCCGCCCGCACGTCTTCACGCCCGCCCGCTCGCCCGCCCTTCCCGCCCGCCTCGCCGCGAGCGCCTCCCGTTCATTCCATGCCACTCCACGCCAGTCCAGCCACTCCCATTCCATCCCGTCCATTCCGTTCCATTCCTCCCATTCCATCCACTCCCATTCCATTCCGTCCATTCCATCCCCTCCATTCCACTCCACTCCACTCCTCCCTCCCACTCCATTCCGTCCATTCCTTTACATTCCGCCGCACTCCTCCCTTCCCCCGCCCCGCGGTCATCCTAGGTCAAAAGAATTTACTTCATGCCCAGCGGTGTGGGACAGCCTTAAAAAATGGACTGGGAAGGGCTGGTTGGTTGGCTGGCTGGTTGGCTCCCCAGTTGTTGGGTGAGCCGGCGTCCATAGGCCAATTTTGGCACACCCTTCATTCGGATCGCACCTAGGGGTCCAGACATATTTTTGGGACTACACATTTTTTGACCTGTATTATATTATCTATTTGAACGGGAATCGATATTTGTTTTGCCCCGTGACCCGTTTTTGTCCATCTTCTTGCCTTTCCAGGGAGAAGGGGAGAAGAAGAAGAATAGGGGGGACGTTCGGGCTTCGCCAAGGGGGCAATTTCTGTTTTGGTTTGCTATCTTCCCTTCCCGTCCCCGGAGGAGGGTGAGGAGGAGGAGGAGGAGGAGGGCTGTGCCACAGGGTTGTGTCTGTCTTGGCCTATTTAGGGTTCTTCAGTCTTTCTGAAGCGCGTTCTGACCAAAGCGACCAGGGCCCCCCCAAGAAGGCGCAAAGAGGTTCAAAAAGGGAGAAGGCTTGAACATATCTCCACCCTCCCCCTCTCTTTCTCCCTCTTCCTCTTCCCGTGCCCCTCCTCTTCCTCAATTTCATTGCCTCCCCCCGACCCCGGAGACGACGCCGACGCTGACCTCTGCGCTGGGCTATTCCTGCCCCCACACGACGACCATGATGATCTCGTCCTCCCCTTCCCCCCACACGGCAGAAGGCGGCGGCGCCATGGGCATGACGACGACGACGAAGGCAAGGACGAGGACAACGACGACGACGATAGCGACCACGCTTGGCCTTTGCGTCTTGGGGCCGCCTTCGAGGCCACTGCGCCGGCGCGAAGGTGGTCGGAGGCGCCGCCCCGCCGCTCGTACTGTCGCTTTCCCTACTGTTTTCTCTTTCTCGGCCACTCCTCGACGCCGCGGGCGCCTTCGTTAGGAGGAAGAGTGACAGAGGGGGAGTGACAAGCTAGGTGCGCTCGCGTCATATCTGACGTCCTACCCCTCCCTCCCATCCCTTACCATGGCGCTGATTTTCTCTATCCGCGGACGCGTGTCGTAGCGGACCTGTGGCTCCGCGCGCGCGTGCGTAGTGGGTGGTGGTGCACGTGCGTGCGTGCGTGCGTGCGTGTGTGCGTGGTTGTGGTGCTGGTGCTGGTGCTGGTGCTGGTGCTCGTGCTCGTGCTCGTGCTCGTGCTCGTGCTCGTGCTCGTGCTCGTGCTGGTGGTGGTGCTGGTGCTGGTGGTGGTTGTGATGGTGGTGTGGTGGTGGTGGTGGTGGTGGTGGTGGTGGTGGTGGTGGTGCGGCGCGGTGGTGGCGGGCGGATGGGCGCGCGAGAAAGAGGCCCGCGCTGGGGCGAGAACGGCATCCTGAACGACGGAGGCCAAACACCGATCCGAAAATGAGGCCCACGCTGCAGCGGGAGCACGATTCGGAACGATTCGGGAGCAGAAGTGAGGCCGGCGCCTCAGCGAGAGATTTTTTTTTTTTAAAAGGCGAAAACCCGTGTCCCGGGAATCCTGTGTAAAAAAACAGTACTCGGGGGGCGTTCGGCCCGAAAATGACGCCGGCGCCTCAGCGAGAGTCGTTTCCCGGGATTTCCCGGGCATCTTGTGTGTAAAAAACAGTACGCGGAGAATGCGCGGCCATCACCCGGACGCCATCAGGGGAAGAGAGAGAGAGAGTATTTTCATATTGAATAATTGTGTAGTAGGGAAGGGCAGGAGGAGGAGGACCAGTGCAAACCCAAGACCCATCAACGATGTTGCAATAAACCCTCCCTCCAAGTTCCCTCTTCATAGGTCTCTACAAGGGTTCATTGTCACTGAGGGACGTGCCCCGTTGGAAGACAACCGTCTGAAAATATTGAACCGTGCCTGGACGCCATTCTTGTGACCTCAACGCCGCGAATCAGCATTACTGTTGCGTCCTGACGAGCCTGAATCGCGCCAGAACACCGTCCCTGGGATCTCAACACCGCGAATCAACGTAAGTGTTGCGTCCTGACTGTCTTCCATCGTGCCAAGACATTATTTCCGGGATGGCAAGCATAATATTTGGAAGTGTTCTGAATTCCTAAGATGAATGCGCGCGGCGCTAAGGCGAGTGCCACGTTTGGACCACCACCCGCCCTCCATCCGTGAAGCTCTTGCAAACTTTGACGAATGAGGACGAATGTGCGCGGCGCTAAGGCGAGAACTACTTTTTGAAAACTGCCCGCCCACCATCCGTGAAATGTTTGCAAATCTTCAGCTTAAGGGTCATACGTGGTGAGGAGGTCTTAGGCGAAACGCCCGGCACCCCCGTTCGACCAGCTTCGGGGTGCGACCGGGAGGAGTTGTTGATAAGGGAGAGATGGAGAAGGAAGAGGAGGATGATGAGGAGGAGGACATGTGAAGCAGAGGGAAGGGGGAGGAGGAAAAGAAGGAGGAGGAGGAGGAGGAGGAGGAGCGGTTATTTCTAAGGAAGGGAATGGAGGGTGCGGGCGACAGGGGGGCTACGAGGACTCGCCCCCCTGTGACCACGAGGTGGGGGCTCAGCACGCTGGGCGCCTTCCTGGGTCTTCGCACTGGACTGGCCGCACTTTCCTCGCCGGCGACGGCTTCGGCGCCGCGGCGTCGACGGCGCCGACGCCGACGAAGGTGGCGGTGGTGGTGGCGACAAGGAGCCGCACAGCCGCGGCGAGACCGCGCGTAGAGCAGCCCTCGTCGTCCTCGTCCTCGTCGTCCTCGTCGCCGCCGCCGTTGCCGTCGTCCTCGCCCTCGCCCTCGCCCTCGCCCTCGCCCTCGCCCTCGCCGTCGTCCTCGTCCTCGTCCTCGTCCTCGCCCCTGTCGTGAGTGCCCTCACCGTTTGGGGCGGGGGGGGCCTCGCGCCGGCCGCGGCCAGGCCGTGCGCACAGGATCCTCCTCTGGCCCCTCGGCGGCCTCGCTTTCGTGAGCGGCGGCGGCGGCAGCGCTGGCGACCTCGTGATCGCGCTCGCCGGGCCCGCCGGCCCGCGCGCCCCTGCCGTTGCTCGCCCTGCCTCGCACCGCCTTCACCTCCTCGCCCTGCTCCTCTTCCGTCTCCTGTTCCTCCTCCTGCTCCTGTTCCTCCTCCTCCTGTCCTGCCTTCTCTCCTGCCTCCTCCTCCGCCCTCGCCGCCTCCTCATCATCATCATCGTCATCATCATTATCATTTGTTCATTATTATTTGTCCTCTTATTGGTTTCGTATTCGTATAATGATTATTTGTTTAGTAGTCGTAGTAGTAGTAGTAGTAGTAGTAGTAGTAGTAGTAGTAGTAGTAGTAGTAGTAGTAGTAGTAGTAGTAGTAGTAGTAGTAGTAGTAGTAGTAGTAGTAGTAGTAGTAGTAGTAGTAGTAGTAGTAGTAGTAGTAGTAGTAGTAGTAGTAGTAGTAGTAGTAGTAGTAGTAGTAGTAGTAGTAGTAGTAGTCGTAGTAGTAGTAGTAGTAGTAGTAGTAGTAGTAGTAGTAGTAGTAGTAGTAGTAGTAGTAGTCGTAGTAGTAGTAGTAGTAGTAGAAGAAGAAGTGGCAACAACATTAGTATTAGTAATACTATTAGTATTTTTTGCATTATCCTCATAACCATGATTTCTTTTTTAGTAGTAGTACTGTTGTTGTTATCATCAAGCTGTTCGGTGCAAGTGTGATCTCTGTGTGTCGCGTAACTCGAGACCATTCGTTACAGTCTAAGTGTGCTTTCGATCGAAGTGCGATGCCCGGCGGCGACAGCAGCCGCTGTCGTTCTTCCCGCGAGGTGGAGAGGAGGGAGAAGACATATAGGAAGGACGAGAAGGAGACGACGAAGAAAAAGGCTTTGGAATCGTCCGAGGCGGATCGTGCCACTGCTTATCTCAATGGGTCCCTGGGCGGGAAGAAAAGGGGTCAAGGAGGAGATGTCCGACATGAAGAAGGGGCTCGACAAGTTTGATGGTGAGGCCGTCCTGCAATGTCTCAGGACCCAGCTCAACGGGTACAGCGGCGTCGAGGATATCAACCACATGGGCAACCTGTCCAATAAGGCCAATATCATTTTCGAACACTGTGAGGATATGGGCACTCATAATCGGAATGAGATGCAAGGAGCTCAAATTCAAAGAGCACTCGCGGTTCCACACCATTGACAAGACTATGGAGGAGCAGCTCATGAGCAAGGTCTACGGGGTTGTCAAGGGGATCGAAGAGGCAGCGATGGTTCCCCTGGGCCTTACGGACACAAAGTGGTGGCGCACGATCAAGCACAATGATATCAGTGGGATGGCGTGGATCAGGTTGGAAGTCGACGGGGAGGTGAAGAACGTCCAGATCGTCAAGAGCGCCGCTGGGTCTCACAACCTGGAGATAGGCCCCACCATTTCAAACCACCTGCACCGGCTCGGCAACTTCGACCTTCAGCGAAGATCATCGAGATGAACGCGTTGACCCTCAACGGCGGGGGTGACGTGGGTATGGTGTGAGGTGGGTGGGTGGAGGCATGGAAGGAGGCGGAGGAGGAGAAGAAGGGAACAGTCGAACTGGACCAGGAGTCTGGTAGAAATCTCGGCGGGTAGTGAAATCCTTCCTGTGACATTCGCGAGTTCAGGGGAGTTACGCCACGAGAGTGGGACAGCTTCTTCCGAGGGGTTCCCAATCAGGTTCAGTGGCATGATCTTTGTCTCCAGGAATTTGGCAATTACGTAGGGACTTTAGAGCAATTATTGCTTACGATGGGCATTGGATTTTCACCTCGAACACCAGGTCGGGCCACAGGCGGATGGCTACTTGTAGTTCATACCCTGGCAATCCAGTTCGTCGTCCTGAATGATTTCGATCACATTGGTTGGGCAATAAAGCTTGATCGTCGCTTACCTCATATGTACATGCGCTGCAGTTGTGCGCATCCGTACCCCCACAGCGATCTTCAGCCGTACTGGCAGAGCGTTGAGGAATTTTGTGTATTATGTGAGATTTTGCCTGAACGATCTCGTGTATTGATCGGGGCTGACTTCCAAATTTAGGAGTTGCAGAGGATGGGAACCGCCTGCTTGGAGACTTTGCGGGACCCCGTGACAAATTGCATGCGTGGGCGAAGGGCCGTATCTTATTCAATTTCGCTGTCGACCGCGACTTGGTGTCGGTGAACACGTACAACCAGCAGAACCCGACGAATACGCGGACGTGCCACGTGAATTTCGCCCTAGGAAGATTGATTTTTTCCTGTTTCCAGGCATCTGCATTCGAACCCTAGCCCCCTGGAAACAGAAAAGAAGTCAATCTGTCTGGAGCGGACTTCAAGTGGTATCAGCACGTCCGCGTATTCGTCGGGTCCTGCTGGTGCACGTGTTCCGCCACCAGGCAGAAGCAAGGTGTTGTAGTTGGCTGGGGCCCTGGGGCCCAGGGCCCAGGGCCCGGGGTTTGGGGCCGAAGCGGCTTCCGGGCGAGCGTGCGCATTGACTGCAATGTTCATGGCGCCATCGGCGCTGTTTGCCACGGGCGATTGCCAGCCGAGTATAAAAGGGAACGCGTCCACATTGGCGCGTGACGCTGCCCCCCGTCATGCAGCGCGCGACGCTGTTGCATCGGAGAGCACAAGGCGGTGGAGCGTCACATAGCAAAATGCGTTGTCTTCTGTGGCACGCTCACCGCCCCCGTCCCCAGGTGTCCGTCGCCCGCTGCGGCAGCACGGGCGAACCGCCCGCCTTTTTTCCCCTTCGTTCTCCATCCTCCGTGTTCTCCCCACGCGCTTCCTCCTCCTTCTCCTCCACTCTTGCTTCCCGTTCTACGATGCGCTAGTGTGCGACGTGAGTGGCCCGACCTGGTTCCCCATCGCCTTTTCATGTGCTGTATATCTCGCAACCTGTTACTGTGTATGAAGCGTTCACATCAACAGTCGCATCACGTACTGGAAGGATTGGATACTTTTCGAGTAATTTTCATTGCGGGGCGTGCTCTGCTGGAAGACAGCGGTTCGGTATACCAAAAACAGCGTTTACAGGGTTTTCAGCGACGGGAATCAACGTGACTGCTGCGTCTGCGCAATATCATGTTTGGCCAGAACGCAATTGGGCGAACACTGCGAAACAACGTGACTGTTGCGTCCTGGCATTCTTAAATCGTGTCATAACACCGTTCCTGGGGCTTTAACCATGCGTATCCTTGAAATTGTGCAGATGTTTAGAATGAAGGCGCGCGGCGCTGAAGCGAAACCCACATTTTGATAAGGAGCCGCCTTCCATCTTTGAAGCTGTTGCAAGTTTTGAAGACGAGCGTGCGCGGCGTTAAGGCGAGAGCCACATTTTGAAAACGGCCCGCCATCCATCCACGAAGCTGTTACAATTTTGTAACAAGAATACGCGCGGCGCAAAATCGAGATCCACACTTTGGCACGACCCGCCGTCCATCTCTGAAACTGCTACAATTTGTTAGGGCGAATGCGCGCGGCGCTTAGGCGATGACCGCATTTTGGAAACGACCCGCCTTCATCGTTGAAACGAGTGCACATTCCAAGCATCAGGTTCATAAGTGGTGAGGACGATTCTAGCGAAACGCCCAGCCCGCCCTACTGACACGTCTGTGGGTGCGACAGGAGTAGTTATTGATTGGGATAAATAGATGGGCGAGGAGGATGTCCTTCTTCCACGGCGGGGCCGCCTCTGCCGCTGCGTGGGTTTTTTGCCCCTCCCCCTCCTCCTCTTCCTGGTGTTGCTGCTGCTGCTGCTGCTTCTGCTGTTGCTGCTGCTCCGTTCCGCCGCCTCTGCTTCGGTTTCTAGTTTGTTCCTTTTGATCAGATAGTACAGTTCGGCCAGGAGTGCCTCGGGGCCAGTCCTCGAAGAGGCTGTGTCCCGGCGGCGGCTTGCCGGGGACCGGGGGCCATAACCCCAACGCCTGGGGGTTCCCCCTCGGTGACAGGGGTGGGACCCACTCGGGCCACTCGGGTGCCCCCAGGTTTATTCAGGCAGGGAGGGAGGGAAAAGGAGGGAGGACAAGGAATGGAGGGAGGGAAGGAGAGTGGGGGAGGGAGGGAGGGAGGAGGAGGAGGAGGAGGAAAAGGGGGAGGAGGAGGAGGGAGGGAGGAAGGTAGGAGTGGAGGAGGAGGGAGGAGGGAGGGATGAAGAGGGAAGAGGGAGGGAGGGAGGGATCGAGGATCGGCTCTCCCCAACCCCAGCCCCAAGGCCAGCGACGCACCTGCCCATGTACTTCGCGTGGAACGAACTACGGGCCGCCGCGGTCGCCAGAGGCAGCGATGATGATAATGATGATAATGATGATCATGATGATCATGATGATCATGATGATCATGATGATGATGATGATGATGATGATGATGATGCTGATGCTGATGCTGATGCTGATGCTGATGCTGATGCTGATGCTGATGCTGATGATAATGATGCTGAAGATGAGGATGATGATGAAGAAGATAAATAAGAAGAATATGGTGATGCTGATGATGATGCTGGTGCTGATGCTGATGCTGATGCGGATGATGAGAATTATCCCAGTGCGACCCTACCTAGGAGTTGGAGCCTCTAGGAAAGCAACATCAAGATGGCCCACAGACGGACAACATGCATGGAACATACGTGCGCACACACATATTGATGCTATACTATGCTATACAAGGCTATGCTATGCTATGGAACGCTATGCTATGCTGCGCTATGCTATGCTATGCTATGCAATGCTATGCTAGGCTGCGCTATGTTATGCTATGCTATGCTATGCTATGCTATGCTATGCTGCGCTATGTTATGCTATGCTATGCTATGCTATGCTGCGCTATGCTAATGCTATGCTATGCTATGCTATGCTATGCTATGCTATGCTATGATATGCTGCGCTATGCTAGGCTATGATATGCTATGCTGCGCTATGTTATGCTATGATATGCTGCGCTATGCTATGCTATGCTGCGCTATGCTAGGTTATGTTATGCTATGCTATGCTGCACTATGCTATGCTATGCTGCGCTGTGCTATGCTATGCTAAGCTAAGCTATGCTATGATATGCTATGCTATGCTAGGCTATGATATGCTGCGCTATGCTATGATATGCTATGCTATGCTATGCTATGCTAATGCTGCGATGCGCTAAGCTAAGGTAAGCTAAGCTAAGCTAAGCTAGGCTAGGCTAAGCTAAGCTAAGCTAAGTCAAGCTACGCTAAGCTAAACTAGACTAGGCTAAGCTAAGCTAGGCTAAGCTAAGCTAAGCTAAGTTAAAATAGGCTAAGCTAAGATGAGATAAGCAACGCTAAGCTGAGGGAACGTAACTGGGGGAACTGCGGGTGCGGATGCCAAGGGAACCGCCCGGGGCGCTTTCCACTGCTTGGCCCCTTTAAGCTCTAAAGTAAGAACCTTTCTAGGCAGAGCCTAGGTAGGGAATGAAGATGAGGATGAGCATGGTGATGAGGATGAGGATGATGATGAGGATGATGATGATGGTGATGGTGATGATGGTGGTGATGATGGTGGTGATGATGATGATGCTGCTGATGCTGATGCTGCTGCTGATGATGCTGGTGGTGATGGTGATGATGATCATGATGATGGTGATCGTGGTGATGATTATGATGATGGTGGTGGTGATGGTGATGATGCTGATGATGATGGTGATGATGGTGATGCTGGTGATGATGATGACGATGATGCTGCTGGTGATAATGATGCTGGTGATGATGATGCTGATGATGATTATGATGACGATGATGACGACGATGCTGATGATAATGCTGATGCTGATAATGATGACGCTGATGATGCTGATGCTGATAATGATGATGATGATGCTGATGATGATGATGATATGATGATGATCATGATGATGATTATGATTATGATGATGATGATGATGATGATGATGAGGATGATGATGAGGATGAGGATGATGATGATGATGATGATGATGATGATGATGATGATGATGATGATGATGATGATGATGATGATGATGATGATGATGATGATGTCGCCTCCTCCTCCCCCTCCTCCTCCTCCTCCTCCTCCTCCTCCTCCCCCTCCTCCTCCCTCTCCCCCTCCTCCTCCTCCTCCTCCTCCTCCTCTTCCTCCCCCTCCTCCCTCCTCTTCCTCCTCCTCCTCCTCTTCCTCCTCCTCTTCTTCCTCCTCCTGCTTCCCCTGCTCCCCCTCCTCCTCCTCCTCCTCCTCGTCCTCCTCCTCCTCCTCGTCCCCCTCCTCCTTCTCCTCCTGCTCCGCCTCGGCTTCCTCCTTCTCCTTCTCCTCCTCCTCCTCCTCCTCCTGCTCCTTCTCCTCCTCCCCCTCTTCCTCCTCCTACCATTCCTTCTCCGCCACCTCCTCCTCCTTCTCCTCGAGGACCTGTTTCCCTCGGGACCCGTGTTTGTTCAGGATATGCGGTACGGGGAGGGGGCGCTTCAGGCGATAGTCGATTAACAGGAAGAAGATTCGCGGGGATCGGCGCGGATTTGTTGTGTTGTCGCTGGACCGTGCCGCATCTCCGATTCGTCGGCGATGCTGTGTGACCCTCCAGCACCATCTGCTCCAGCCCCGTTTGGGAGGCCTGGGCAATATCACTGCCTTCGCAGGCCCCTTCGATAGAAGAAAAACAATTCAGAGGACATCAGTGTGTGTATACATATGTATATATATATGTATATATAGATATAGAGAGATTTACGTGTGTGTAAATATGTATGTGCATGTACGCGGGCAGCTTCCGCCTGCCTGCGTTAGAATGCGGTCGCTCGTGCACGCGTGATCGCGGAGGGCGCACATGTGTGTGTGTGTGGATTTTGGCCTGTTCAGAAAGATCAGCACTGTCACATAAGCATAGAGTCGGGGCGCTGAAGAAGGAACCCTTTTCGCTGGGGAGGGGCTCGGTGTTCCTTAATAGTTCCAGACCTTGCCTAAGGTTTTCCTTACGCTTTCGATGGGAAATCGGATCTTAACTTATGAAAAAAATGGAACTCGTTCCTTATTTAGGGTTCCTCAGGTCAACGCCTCGACTGTACACTGTCGGAGGTCCGCGCAGATGTCTTGTACCGGCGCTGGGCCTCCATGGCAGCGACTCGCCCCCGACGCGCGCGCTTCGCACGGCACGGGAGGCGCCTCGTGCGGACCTTCGGAAGCTTGTGCCTGTACAATTGTTTGTGCTTGTAAGCAGGGAGGGTCGACGATCGATCCTTCCAGAGGATGGGG